TATTTATGATACATACTTTATTTCAAACACAACATATATATGTATTGTAATAAATACTACATATAGTAATTTATATGTAGTAATTATTACATGTTATAATTATTACAATATGCCGTAATTATTATGACATGTCATAATTATTATGACATGTTATAATAATTATAACATGTAATAATAATTATGACATGTCGTAATATTATGACGTGTAATAATAATTATAATAATTATAGCTTTAAAAAGTCTGTGTAATAATATATATCATAAATATAATTGCTGCAATTGGCTATTTATGGCACCAATCACTACTCATGGGCGTCCCGAATTAACGCGCATCCCAATGATGCACATCCTTAATTTATTGTTGTGATAGATATATAGTCAATACTCCATAAGCGCACACTTTATAAATGCATTCTCTATAATATTAAGTTGCACATAATTTGATTGGTCTAATGTAATCATTAATATATTATGTATATTAGTGCTGTTGACTGGAAGCTACTAGAAAACAACTAGAACTCCACTGGAAGAAAATTAATAATACTACTAGAGCTTTTACTATTACAAATTTCCATTAGAAGGCTGAGAATTTCTACTGAAAACAAAAATTAACAACACTGATGTATATTCTTTATAATACTTTCATAATGAATAATTTATAAATGTACTTTTACCCAATAATATGTATTTATTGAAAATTAATTTAGAAAAATCTTCTCTTATTTTGAAATAACGCGTAGGCTAATTAATTAGCACACAGGTAGTCATTATTTCGTTCTTATATAGTACATGATAAAACCAACAAATGCTATAAACTAATCAAATTTATCACCATAACTAATATTTATATACTTTGGAGAATAATTAGATTTTCTCTATAAACATCAGACTCAAATTTTTATAGCTGTTTTCAAAAATCTGTTGAAAGATACAAATCACTATACTATGACTTCACAATATTTCTCATATTTCCCGAGTTTACATGACCCACTCTAATTGGATTTTTAATTTTACTAAGCAGAATTTCTACATTTTCCAATACTATATATTAGGGATGGGTTCGGTCATCTATTATCAACTATCGATTAGTAGCCGGCTATAGCCAATCAATTACTGATTAATTTCTTAATCAATTTTTAATCAAACATGTAAAAAATATACAAAATTAGAGTACCCTAGCTATAGCGAAAAAAATTCAGGTCTCGTGCTATAAGCAGCCAATCAAAATGATCAAATTATTAAAGATCTCAATCTACATTTTCGAAATTTAATTCTGGTCAAATTTGCAGATCGTTTGGCCTATTGAGGATGAGTTTAAAAAACCACCCTTTGCATCACCAATCTAAAAAATTTCGCTAATCACATGCTACCAATAAAAATTTTTTCTTAAAGCTAACACTATAATACCACTAAGATATTTTTTTTAAAAAAAAGGAAAATTTAAAACTAATATTTTTTTAATATTTTTTATTTATTAAAATTAATAATAAGAAACTATCCTCTGCAGTCTAATTAAAATGCACCTTGTGAAATTTTACTAATAGAAACTTTTTTTTAAAACCTAACTCTAACCTAACCCCAAACTACAACATCAAATTCTTAGTAAAAATTACAGTATTAACAACTTTTGTATATAAGCTACCTACCCAAACCCAACTCAAACTACACATATCACCAAAAGAACAATGAAAAGACTACTAAAAAAACATGAAAAAGGTATTAAAAAGAATGAATTATCAAAAGAATGACTAAGAAACTACTATAAGAACAACAGAAAAATCTAAAAGAATGATGAAAAAACACCAAAAAACCATTGAAGAATAACAGAAAACTCTAAAAAAAAATGATGAAAAAGCACTAAAAAACTATTAAAAAATGACAAAAAATAACAGAAAACTCCAAAAAAATGACAAAAAAGTACCATAAACCTACCAAAAAGTAACAAAAAATGATGAAAAGTTCCAAAAGAATGATGAAAGAGTGTCAAAAAAACTACAGAAAGTGATGAAAAATGACAGAAAACTCCAAAAGAATGACAAAAGAGCACCAAAAAACCACTGAAAAGCAACAAAAGAAGTGCTGAAAAGTGACAAAAAATGAATTATAAAAAAAAACACTAAAAAAAAGCTAAAAAAATAAAGAATAAAAACTTAATTTTAGTAGTTGATCAGCCTATCACATGATTAGCAAAATTTTTTAATTGGTAACACTAGGGTCTTAGAGTTTAAAACTCATACCAATAAGGCCGCAAATTTGACCAAAATTAGATTTTGAAAATGTAGATTGGTCATACGATTTTGAAAAACTTTCAAGATTTAGCAAAGACTTCTCTGTAACTGCTTGATTAAACTCAGTAATTTTTTTTAAAATGTATAATTAATAAAATAAAAAAATTATCGAAATTTGATAGATGAGAAATTTTCACAAAAAACATTTTAAAAACTTTAAACAAAGTTTCCACAACAACCATTGATTTCAATTCTATGAAACTTTTTTATTTTAATTCCGTAAATTTATAGAATTAAAATTAAAAAAAAATTAAAATTGGATATATTTTGAAAACTGTGATTATTAAAATTCTGTATTCTTGCAATCATTGACAAAAAATGCTCGATTGTTAGATAAAGAATGGTTGCCTTTTAGTATCTTACAATAAAACACCACAGCTGTCGCACCAGTTTAGATTCTCAATTTTAATTAGCTAAATGCCGTGGTTTACAAAATTTTGACCCGCATTATACAATTGTTACGTAATTTTTGGCCGGAATTAAGTTTTTAACTTTTTTATTACAAAAACAGAAATTTTCAGGGAAATAGGTCTACACTATGATAAAATTAGTTCAGGAACATTTTTCACTTAATGGGCAGATGTGATTTCATAAGTGTAATTTCTCTTAGCCTATCAAAATCGAGAATCTGCTGTGACGAACGGCTAGTGTATTTCTTACAATAATTCTGTAATTTGTGCACTTCATGCCGAATTAAAGCAATGATTATGATTTATCAGGCAGGAAATAAATAACTTGGCATCGGTTAGCCGGTCAGCTAAGCCGATATAGTCGATTATCATCGACTACGGCTATAGCCGGTCAGCTAGCCGGCTATAACCTAACCGAACCCATCCCTAGTTAGAATGATTTTATAATATGAATTTTCTCATCCTAACACTAACTATAAAGAGCAGCTAGAATGATAACTTCTCACCCTAACAATAGGAGCTGTTAAAATGAACAGGAGGAAACGTCGATATTACACTGATCCCTCACCCGGTGTGCAACATATAAAAAAAATTATTTTGCAATACCAGATCACCTCGCTAGTACATGTTATGATTATAATCCAACACCTGTTTATTATAATAAAATGGTGTAGGATTATAATCATAATGTGTACTAGCTGAAGATAAGTATAAATTTAATTAAATTACTTTAGGAGCTTATGGCGCGAATACTAATATATCAAAATTTAGCAGGGAGCGTATGACAATAACATACAAATATAAAGCGGAAGAGCGGCAGGGCATCACAACAGGAACCCTTTCAAGAGGCAAATCAATTTCGCACCCTGCCCTACCCTCCCTCAGTAGAATCCCGCCATTTTGTGGCAGTTTAAACATCTCTTTACAGTCGACATGCATTATGCAAGTGGGAAACCAACAGCTAAGATCATGTGACTACAAAGCAGCTGGCCTGCATTTATGCGGGTGGGAAACCACCGTCTAATGCCAATTATATGTCAAATGCACTGATTATATATCTCTTTCAATTTTACATCAACTATACATCAAACACACTAATGTATGCTATATATCTCTTCAACTATACATCAAACGCACTGATGTATGCTATAACTCTCTAATAAAGTTTGAATATCCAGCACTATTGGCGCTGAAATGCATCATAATTATGCGCAAATTTATAGTATCAAATGCATTGATTTTGTCCTCAGCTTAGATCTTCCGTTCCTGGTGACGTTGTTACTATCGGTTTGGGAGAGCGTCAGTTTATTGAGTGCCGGTTAGATCAGGATAGTAATCTAATATTGAATTAAAGGCGTGTGATTATGCGTGGAGAATAAGTCTAAGGGGCAACTCGGTAATGAATATTATTGTTGTCGATATTAAACAGAAATATCTCTGTTTAAATTAGATCGGGGCTGTGGGTAATGGTTAAGGGTCTTAACGCATTGAAAAATATTGAAAAATGAATGCAATAAGTTTTCATTGCTACTCATTTTTTAGAAAAATAAAAAATATACTAAACTAAATTTGCTAATCATATAAACAACTAAATCAACCGGGTTAATTAGGTCAATCGAAGTAGCCCGATTTATGATTTGTTAACGATTTTTTTAAATAAGTAATCCGGGTAGTGTTTTTTTTAGATAGGTTTAATTATTAATTGACTTGTATATGTTCATGATCTTTGAACTGAACTCAGAATGTTCCAAGTTCAAGCTCAATTCAAGTTCATAAGTTCTAAATTTAGTTCAGGTTCAAGTTTAAAGATCTACAAAATTTAAAGTTCTGCTCAAGTTCAGTTGAACTTGAACCTGAACTTGAAAAACTTTGGAACACTATTTCCAACATAAAAAACTATTATATAAAAATTTTATAGCATTTAATTTATTAAAATTAAATTTTTTCAAAAATTTTATAATTACAGTATTTACTAGTAATATTAAGCATTATTCCAACAAAATTTTTTTTTCAAAACTTGTATTGGTCTCAATATTGTAATTATATTTTAAATAATAGAATAATAAAGTAAATAGTAAAAAAAAAAATTTACTTAAGAGTAGATTGACAGACTTGTTTTTGTAGCAAAATAAGATGCAAAGCATGTAGGTTTGTAACAGTCAATTATGAAATGTTCATTGTGTTTTTGGAATATAATCTAAAAGATAATAATAGTACAATAATATAAATAATTATTTAATTTATAAATTACAATAAACTATGACAAATGAAGTATGGATACGGGTATGCATTCTATGATACTTTAAATAATTTGATTAATAATAAAAGCTAAACTAATTAACTCAATTATAAAATTGAATCCAGTTAATTTATCTTGTAAAGAACTTGATGCAGAAATAACATTAGGTGTTACGGCACTAGTTGTGCTTCCAGGTTTAATGCTTGATATTTAAAAATAAATTAATGTAAATCATTAGTATCTTGCATTTACATGAAATATATTCAAATATAAAAGAAAATTACCTAGTATTACTTGAGGATGGTAATAATGTTGATGATTTCGATAATGCTGTTGATGATGTTGTTGGTTGTGGTGGTGGTTGTGTTTGTGGTTGTGTTTGTGGTGTTTGTGGTGGTGGTGGTGTTTGTGCTTGTGGTTGTGCTTGTGGTGTTTGTGGTGGTTGTGGTGTTTGTGGTTGTGCTTGTGGTGTTTGTGGTGGTGGTGGTTGTTGTGCTTGTGGTGTTTGTTGTGGTGGTGGTGATTGTTCTTGTGGTGTTTGTTGTTGTTGTGGTGGTTGTGCTTGGGGTGTTTGTGGTGGCGGGTTTATTAGCGCCGTTGGTGAATTTGTTACTGAGATCAGCAAAGTTTCTACTGTAGTAAATACTGAATATGTAGTATACCCGTAATTATAAGAAAAGCACTGTGGTTGTGCAATTGGTGCACGTGCGATGACTGCTTTAGGAGTAGTAGCTGCCTTAGGAGTTGTAGCTGCCTTAGGAGTAGTAATTGCCTTAGGAGTAGTAATTGCCTTAGGAGTAGTAGCTGCCTTAGGAGTAGTAATTGCCTTAGGAGTAGTAGCTGCCTTAGGAGTAGTAGCTGCCTTAGGAATAGTAGCTGCCTTAGGGGTAGTAACTGCATTAGGGGTAGTAACTGCCTTAGGAGTAGTAGCTGCCTTAGGAGTAGTAATTGCCTTAGGAGTAGTAGCTGCCTTAGGAGTAGTAGCTGCCTTAGGAATAGTAGCTGCCTTAGGGGTAGTAACTGCATTAGGGGTAGTAACTGCCTTAGGAGTAGTAGCTGCCTTAGGAGTAGTAATTGCCTTAGGGGTAGTAACTGCCTTAGGAGTAGCAACTGCCATAGGATTAGGAGTAGTAACTGCCTTAGGAGTAGCAACTGCATTAGGAGTAGTAGCTGCTTTAGTAGTAGAAGTAGTAACTGCATTAGGAGTAGGAATAGCGACTGCTTTAGGAGTAGTAGTTGAAGGTGCTGGTGGTGTATAAATCGGTTGTGGAATAGATCCACCACACACTGTTGTATAAGCATTATTTCCAGCTGGTATAACAACAGGAGCTAGACATGTTCCAGTTGCAACAGGTGCTGATGTATAGATCGGTTGTGGAATAGGTGTATCGACAGGATAAGTATTACACGGTATTGAAACAGAAACATATCCCCCTGATAAAACATTATTTGCTAGACATGGATAGATCGGTAGTGGAGTAGATGTATCGGTAGGATAACTAGTCTCACATGAATAAGTTACACCTTGTGCTACATATGGTGTGGAAGTAATATACGTTGTGACTACTGTTCTATAAGCTCTTTTTTGCAAATTCTTTATGTCAACACGATTATTCTCAACTTCATTAGGATGGATAATTGAAATTGTTCCAATGAGCCAAAAAAAAAATCGTTAACACGAATATTTTATCAAAAGAATTAGCCATTATTTTATTTTACTATTGTTATTATTATTGTTTTTTTTTTTTTTGTATTGTATAATTTTTCAATTATATAAAAGAAGAAAACGAATTTATGCCCATAAGCTATATTTATATAAATTTGAAAAGATAAATCACAAGTAAAATATAAAATTAAAATATGACATTAAATTTTAATGTGGTTTTCCGATGTATCTGTTACACAATACTCAGATGATCTATATCATTGTCAATGATATATTGCTGTTAAAATATTTACCTTATGAAATTTAACATTACAGTAGATGTCTTAATTAATATTAAATGGCGCCATCGGAAATGGATCTAGTGCATAAATATATCAATTGAAATTTTTTCTTGGCAACAATTATATATGTATATTACTATTTTTTATTTTTTTTTTAAACGCGAAAAGGCGTGTATATTACTATTTTAAGAAGGAAGACAAAGCACATTAGACAAGATGTTCAAATATATACGTAAGTAAAAATTACTTTGTGCGCAGAATGAGTTGCTTATTCCATAAACCATATGCCTGGACTAAAGGAGAAAATTTTTACCATTGTCATACTTGTATAAACGTTTTAAATTAATTATTTTAAAAAAATTTAAGAATCAATCAAAATAGACATATAGAAGAATTAATGTATCTATATAGTAACAAATGATGAATATTATATAGTGTATTATCATTTGTATTCTTATAAGCGAATATGAAGAGGAAATCATGAACGTGCAAAGTATTAAAAGTTATTGTTTAGTAGAGATGGACGCTATTCGAGTCGATTTGCCTCAGAAATTGAATGAGTTAGGCATATGATTTGGATCAAACTAATACTTTGAGCGAATTAATTGAATTTTTTAAAATTTCGCTCTTCATTTTTCTTTAAAAATTTTTTTTTACACTATACATTATCATTTCAAAATGTATGAGTAAAAAATCAAGTCGATCTGAATCACCTCTGAATCATAACATCTTTGCAGTTTAATCTACAACTCACAACATAGTTGCATACAAATTACATTTCAATATTTCAAAGTAATATAGCTTATCAAGGTGAAATATTTCTTAATACTAAACCACGTATTGAATATATCAAAAGGTTAAGATATTATCAATCAAATATATTTTAGTATAATCATTGGTCTCATATTTTTTTATTACTAAAGTAATAAATATCATCTAGTCGATCAATTTATCAATTTATCAAATTTATCACCTAAAGGGTTATAATCATAGGTAACGATGGGTTCTAACCAATCAAACTTTACCTTGCCGATTATTAGTTTTCGAAAATTCAGTTTATTCCTTAAATTTTTCTCTCGAAAAATAGGAAGTTTCTTAAAAAACGTGACTTCGATCTTACCTAGAACTATAATGTTACACTTATATTTTTACGAATTTCAAAATGTTCATTGAAATTGACAAATTTGGATTTCATTAGTTTACAGGTTTTGGTATAATTCTGATAATTCTATATCTCATGTTGTGAAACAGTTGTTAAATGACAACATAAACAAGGATAAGTCTAAAGTATTCAGGGGTTTGACGGTGTATATTTTTTCATTGAACTGTAAATCTTGATCTTTAAATATCAAAAATTAGACCTACAAACAGGTGTAAACAAGTTTAGTACCCGCAGCATTTTGTTACTTAAGTAACACTATCAGAGGTTATCAGAGGTTATCAGAGGTGTTAGAAAGAAAATAATGGTGGTGCAAACAGCAAGAATATCGAAATTGTAAAAGTAATTAGTAATTATCTGTTTTTGGTAACCTATTAAACATGTGTAAAAGTCACGTACTTTTTCTTATTTTACTTTTTCTTATTTTCATTTTATCTTTTTCATTTCTGATAAAGATCAAACTTCGATATTCCGAGTTATACTAAGATTGTTATCATGCTTAAACTTTTAGCCGTGTTATATTCATACCGCTTTATTTACCATTGTTTTAGAATCTTTTGTTTATTTTTTATTTATGTTTCAACGCAGCCTTTATTTAGCTGATGGTTTTTAGATAATTGGTATTTTCAGATTTATTTATTTAAATAATAAATGATAAACCAATGTCACATTTTCCCTTAGCGTCACTCATATATTAAAACTATAATAATGATTAATATATTTATTTATTGTATTCATTTATTTTATCTAGGGCTTAAAATTCAAGTATAAATAAAAGAAACATCGTGAGAATAAATTAAGTAATACAGGAATTCAATCTTATGTGCTATTCAATGTTAACACTGCTTTGAATTCACAAAGGTTTTTGTATAATTAGCACATTTTTGGTAATGTTTTTAAATTTAGCTTACCTTTTAAAGTAAATATACCCAAGTACGAGCATTTTACAATTTTTCTTGGCATGTTTACGTTCGTACATACGTACGCACTTAGATCTGTGGCAGGCGTTTTATGCACTGCCGATTGCTAACAAACGTACGTACGTATGTAATTGTTTATGCAATAATAATAATAGATTAAATGTGCTATTATCAGTTATGACAAGATTTTTAATAGTCAAAGTTTTCAAAAAAATTAAACGTTCTAAAAAAATCTTTTCATTAAGATCTTATTTTTCTTTGTGAAACAAAGTCTATTTGTAAACAGAAAAATTTTCCATATTCGTATGCTTTATTAAAAAGACAAAAATTTCCATATTTTATATGCTTGATTAACATAACGACCTATACTTAATGAATATACAAAAATATCATTCCATTATATATAAAATCGATTTTTGGATTATCGTGAGAAGAATTGCATTAATACTGTTACTTTTTAAGTTAATGCAAAAAGATTTTGACCACACGAGTACGGCATTTCAAATAGTATTGGTCCACAAATCTTAGATCTGATAGTTCCCATGCGTGACATTATTCATCAATAATTTTTCACATATCATTTCATCACGCCTTATATATACGTGGTCAACATAAGTTTTTAACGTGAGTATATAATTGACGTGCTAGTACTATCTGTTCACATGCATATCAAGCGCCACGAAATAAATCAATCTGTTAAAAAATTAAAACTAAATACGGTAGGTTCAATAGTCAAAACACGATTTTTAGGTATAACTTTTGTGGCCCATTGCAAATTTTCATATATATTTACTGAATCTTCGGTATTTATCTTTTTCTTCGTAGAATTTTTTTGAGCTGATTAAATGATTATCAAAGATGAGGACGAAAGATGCATACATTATAGCGTGAAATAACATGCGGCACAGCTGTAACTAGATAGCTACCTAAATTTTATATGATCATTAAATTACATTTTATAGATTTAAATGTATTTTTTACGTGTACTACCTAAAAGGACACTTAAAGAGCAATAAACCAATGACCATCACATCATGTGAAATCATGGGATGGCGTCATTTGTTTACTAGCACTAACAGACTTGGCCTAAACTATCACCTAACCCTATCATTAACCCTAACTTAGGCCGAGTGTTTAATCATGTGATGTGATTATCACGAAGATATCCCTGAGTTCGCCTTCTTGAAACTACCTAAAAAAAATTTTAATGGTTTAAATCATAAATATAATACATAATCTAAGTGTTTAAATTAGATACGTATCCAATTCATTATTTCATTTTACTCATGTTTAATTAGATAAGTATAAAAGCATATATTAATTTAAATAGTTAAAGTAAGCAATTCAAATTCATGAATATTCTAATAAATTTCATTTTACTCATGCTAAATTAGAAGGTAAATGTAAGGAGCATTTATTAATCTGGTATTTAAAATAATCAATTCAAGTTCATATCTATTAATCTAAATAAATGAATCCATTCAAGTTCATAAATATATATTATTATTTAATTGAATCTGAACTTTCGAACATTTTTGCAAACTTCAGAACCGAAGTTCTGACGTAAACATGAGACTTGATATTCAAACTCGAGCTGAACTGACTTTAAAAATAGTTCGGGTTCAGAATTTAAACTGAACCTGAACTTGTAAAAATCTTGTTAGGTTCATTAGAACTTTAATGACTAATATAAGATTTGGTGCCGTACGTATACTTTATGTCTGCTTCGCGTATAGTAAAGTTATGATATTTCAAGAACTATCAAACCAATTTTAATTTTTCTAGCGCCATTAGAATCACAAAGGTTAATTATACAACTTTTGTTAAAAATTGAAAAGAGGTTATCTTGGCAAAAAAAGACTTCATTATATAGCGAAGTCAGATTGGGGCTATACGTACTATAATACTTGTTAAATTTTGCCCTAAATTTTGCTATATGAATACATTAGTAATTAATAGGAACAATTTTACCTACGTATAAAATAGCATCATTAAGAAAAGTAAATGTAAATGTACAATAATCATCCAATTTTATATAATCAAATATGGCAAAGATAAAAAACCAAAATTATAAATTTATAAATCTTTAAGAAAATTATGATAAGGACCAACAAGCCAAGATTCAAGATTATAGTCACTAATAAATATAGCAAAGACAAGCAGATTATAGAATGCTAAAAAAACAAAAATAGAGTCAATAATAGAATGTTTATTGTGTTTTGGAATATAATGCTAAAAAAGATATTGATAGTACAATAAATAAATATTTATCTAATTCATGAATTACAATGAGCTATAATAAATGAGGTATGATTCTGCAATTTATAATACTTTAAATAATTTGATTAATAATAAAAGCTAAACTAATTAATTCAATTATAAAGTTGAAACCGGTTAATTTATCTAGTAAAGAACTTGATGCAGAACTAGGAGTCGATGATGGTGTTATAGCACTAGTTGTGCTTCCAGTTTTAATGCTTGATATTTAAAAAAAATTAATATAAATCAGTATCATACTTTTCACATGAAACATATTAAACAATAGAAGGACAATTACCTAGTATTACTTGATGATGTTGATGATTTCGGTGAAGTTGTTGATGGTGATGTCATTGGTTGTAGTGGTGTTGACGACGGTGATTGTAGTTGAGGTTGCGGTTGTGCTTGAGGTGTTTGTAGTGGTGGTTGTGGTTGCGCTTGTGGTGTTTGTGGTGGTGGTTGTGCTTGTGGTGGTGTTTGTAATGGTGGTGGTGGTTGTGCTTGTGGTGTTAGTGGTGGAGGGTTTATTAGCGCAGTTGGTGATTCTGTTACTGAGATTAACAAAGTTTCTACTGTAGTATATACTGAATATGTAGTGTATTCGTAATTATTAAAATAACATGCTGACTGTATTTGGCGTGCGAAAACTGCGGGAGACACTATCAAATTTGGAGAATTGTCAGTGTTATTAAGGATGGTAGTGGGCGCTAGAGCTTTAGGAGTAGCTTGAGCTGGTGCGGGCACAGGAGCTTTAGGTGCTTGAGTGGTAGTAGGTTCTTCAGGAACTATTGGTTGTGGAGTTTTTGGAGGTATAGTAACAGGTGCTGGTGGTGTATAGATCGGTTGCGGAATAGATGTATTGGTAGGATAAATAGCCTCACACGAATCAGTTACACCAATTGCGACAAATGGTGTTGAAGTAATATATGTTGTAACTACTGTACTATATGCTCTTTTATACAAATTCCTTATGTCAACATGACTATTCTCAACTTCATTAGTATAGATAATTGATATTGTTCCAATAAACCAAAAAATAATTGTTAACACGAATATTTTATCAAAAGAATACCCCATTTTATTTTATTTCAATTATAATTATTACATAAAAAGAAGAAAACGAACTGTTGTCAATAAATTATATTTATATAAAACTTGCAAAGATAAATGACAAGTATATGATACATGTTAAATTTTCAAATGATTTCCGATGTGTATATCTCACAATACTCATATGACATTGTTAAAGCTTTATTCTGTTAAAATATTTACCTTATGTAACTCCATTTTCGATGACACTAAATGGCACCATGTAAATTGAAGTCTTATCTCGACATCACTTATATATGTATATTAATAATACCATATAAGAAGGTTTCATAATACAAAAACAAAGCATTATTAAATACAGCGCATAGAATGGGTTGCTTATCCCTAAATCATACGTCTGGACTAATGGAGAAATATCGATATTTTTCATATTGTCATACTTAGGTTAGGTGAAGAATTATATTCCAGTTTAATAGATATGGACATGACTTTAGTCGATTCGACTCAAGGCTCTGAATGAATTAGGCTGTTCCGACTCAAAATATGCAAGTGATTTAAGTCAGACTCATTTGAGTGAATCAATTGAATTTATTAAAAATATAGAATTTCATTTTCTTTTAAAAAATTACATTACAAATTCAAACCGTATGAGCAAGATTAAGTTGACTACAGTCCCATCTGAATCATAAACAATAAAATCCAACTAACTTTATATCTCAAATTGTGAAACTATTATTCAATGAGCAACATAAATAAGGATAAGTCTGTTCAGAGTCTTGGCATTGTTTTTTAACTGCAATTTTTGCATAAATCTTGTCTTTAGTATCAAGATTACTTTAAAATCTAAAAATCATTGTGAACTATTCAATGATACATCTGTTCGGAGGCTTTGCGGAGCATAATTACTTTTTTTACATTTTTTCATTGAGATTTTGTATAAATCTTGTTAAACATACAAATAGATGTCAATGAAAGCTTTGTACACGCATCATTTTATTACTTGAGTAACACTATCAAAGGTTATTGGTGGTGTGAGAAAGAAAATGGGGATAGAATTTTAAAAAATAATTAGCTATTATATGTTTTTATTAACCAGTTAAATATGTGTAAAAGTCTTTTTTCATTTATTTTTCTCAATCTAATAAAGATCAAACTTTGATATCTTGAGTTATCCGACATTTCATATGATCATGTGAATTTTTTTGCCATGATATTTTTTGCATAATCAGTTTTGCAAAACATCA